TCTGGCAATGGGTCGTTCACCTAGATAAGTGTCCAGTTGTTGTAAGGCTGCGCTTGTTCCACCGCGGCGGATCGGGGCACTTTCCTGTAGAATTTCGTCAAACATCTCAGAAAGTGAGGGAGTGTACGCCTCCTCACTTGTACGTGACCGTTTCTCAGGCACACTTTGCTGTGCGCTCCCCGTCGAGTCTCTTCCTTCACCAGATGTTTCAACCTCCATCAGCTCTTTTTGCATCATTTCATGCACACGCTGCTTTTTCTCCTCGTCAAAGTAATGTTCTTTAAAGCGCGGGTCTAGTATTGTTGTCTTGAAAGCGCTTGTTAACAGCCTCCAGTAAAGTTTTTTTTTAGCTGTTTTTACACCGTGATCGGTTTCCACCTCTTTTCCAAGCAGACGCTTCAATGCTGCTATCAAAGGAATAACTTCTGCAACAGATGCTTTAGCAGAGCTTATCTCCTTGGTCATCTGTTTGAATGGGGCGAGAAGAGACACTGTGTTTTCCATGAGCATCCACTGGTGTGCACTCAAAGTAGTGGGCAGATCGTGATCTGCCATATACGCAGCTATGACCCGCTTCTGCTCAAGTAGACTCTGCAACATATAGAACGTACAGTTCCAGCAAGTAGCTACATCTTGCTGGAGTCATTTTGGTGGCATCCCAAACTGTATTTGCAAATCTTGTAGTCGGGAATAAGCAAGCGGAGAATGTTTAAAGTGTCCCACAATTTTCCTCCCAATTGCTGTCATTTCCAAAACGCTGCGCTGACTCATCACTCCCTCATTCACAGCCAGCTGGAGCGTATGTGCCATGCGCGGTATGCTATTCAGTCCACTGTCCTCCATAGCCTGTATCATGTTCCGTGCATTATCTCTGACAATCACATGTACATTAGACTTCTCAAAGTGTCAAGCATTGTAGACAAAGCATCAGATATCGCTGCTGTAGTGTGTGACCCAGCAAACTCCTGTGCGTGAAGCAAAACGTTTTGCAGTTTAAAATCAGAATCAATCCACTGCGCTGTTAAGCTAAGCATGCTAGCAGGGCTAACGTCTGAGCTCCAAATGTCCATGGTAATGGGCTCGTGAACGTGTTTTGCAGTTGTACATTTCAGGTAGACATTTTTCTGCAAAATAGCGTCTGCTTGGCAGTGTATAACGCGGCTCAATATGTTGTATGAGCGTACGAAATCCAATGTCCTCCACGACAGAAAAGGGCTGGTTGTCTAAGGAAATGAATTCCATTACTTTCTCAGTAATGTCACATGCTTTGGGACTATCATCTGCAAATTTCTTAATCTTTTCAAAGAATGTGGCGACCGAGGGTGTTTGTGATGTATTTGGGGCACTTTTAACCAGTGTTGTTTTGCGATACTCCTCATACTCAATTGGATGTCGTGTTTTCAGGTGGTGTATCAAGCCTGTTGTCGAAAAGTTCTTTGGCACATACCTCCTCTTGATATTTTTGCATGAGCAGGAGCTTGGTTCGCATCACCGGCAGTAAGTCAGACTTGTTTCCAGTGCATATTGGACTCCAGCAGGGCTGCCCTTTGTCACCGGTTCTGTTCATTATTTTTATGGACAGAATTTCTAGGCGCAGCCAGGGGCCAGAGGGAGTCCGGTTTGGGGACCACAGGATCTCGTCTCTGCTTTTTGCAGACGACGTTGTCCTGTTGGTCCCATCAAACCAGGACCTCCAGCGTGCACTGGGGCGGTTTACAGCCGAGTGTGAAGCGGCTGGGATGAGAATCAGCACCTCCAAATCCGAGGCCATGGTTCTCAGTCCGAAAAGGGTGGCTTGTTCCTATCAGGTTGGTGGAGAGTTCCTGCCTCAAGTGGAGGAGTTCAAGTATCTTGGGGTCTTGTTCACGAGTGAGGGAAGGATGGAACAGGAGACTGGGAGGTGGATCGGTGCAGCTTCTGCAGTAATGCGGGCGATGTACCGGTCCGTCGTGGGGAAGAAGGAGCTGGGCTGTAAGGCGAAGCTCTCGAAGATCCTAGATGCAGGGGCCCGAAATGAGCCTCCTCCGCAGGTGCCCGGGCGCACCCTCAGAAATAGGGTGAGGAACTTGGTCACCCGGGAGGAGCTCAGAGTAGAACCGCTGCTCCTCCACATCGAGAGGAGCCAGCTGAGGTGGCTCGGGCATCTGTTTTGGATGCCTCCTGGGCACCTTCCTAGGGAGGTGTTTCAGGCATGTCCCACCGGGAGGAGGCCCCGGGGAAGACCTAGGACATGCTGGAGGGACTATGTCTCTCAGCTGGCCTGGGAACACCTTGGCATTCCCCCAGAGGAGCTGGAGGAATTGTCGGGAGAGAGGGAAGTCTGGGCATCTTTGCTTAGACTGCTGCCCCCACGACCCGGTTCCGGATAAGCGGAGGATAATGGATGGATGGATGGATCCCCTCCAATGTATTCGGGTTCTACCCCAGGGCCTCCGACCAGGATGTGCTAGGAAAACCTCCAATGGAAGGCGCCCAGGAGGGATCTTAATCAGATGTCTGAGCCACTTTAGACACAAAGGAGCAGCTGCTCTACTGTGAGCTCCCTACACATATGTATCTGAACTCCACACCCCATCTCTAAGTCAGAGTCCAAACTGAGTTAAATAAATTAATCTTTCCTCATGTTTGACTGTTAAAAGCCAAGCTACATAGTTACTAGTTAATCCTGTTAGACCAAGTATTAACACCATTGCACAGCCTATACAGTGCCATAGTTCCTGCCCATTTTACATTAATTTCTCAAGTAAGCCATTTAATTAAACAGGTGGTAGTCTATCAAACAATAGTCTATCAAATTACTAATGTTTAATGTAGTGTTTCAGCAGGTAACATTTCTTAGTGGCACCATGCCACGCAAAAATCTTTACCACCATGAGAAGAGAAAAAAAAAATTTGGGCCAGACACTGGCAAACTGCTGAGGACTTAATTTAGCAACTGTTAAAAAAAAAAAAAGAACAAAACTTCGATTACACTGCAAATGTCAATGAAAAATAACTAGCCTATATTAATCCATACAATTACGAAGTATTTGTTCACCTCTATAGAGACAGAGAGAACATGGATTAGGGATGGAAGAGTGTTTCTCCAATTTGCCTTCCAGGCCTGGCTGGGTGACTGGTTTCTACTGGCTCTGCAAGTTTACGTCACAGCCATGTCAAGCAAGCGATTCTAATAAGAAACACCTCCCTGTCCTTGTTTGAATTAAGGTACATAAAAACTTCAAATAAAAAGACACACTAGAAATTAACATAAATGCAATGACACTGCAGCAAACCTATTCCAAATAGATGATAAAATTCCTCACCAGAAGAACTGAGTAGAAGCCGGGCTGGGTCTCCCACTGTCGGAGCTGCTCTTCCGCTGGCTTGAGCACAGCTGTATCCTGACTGGTAGCTTGGGTTAAGGCCTGCAGCACCACTGTGCTGGCACTGTCCATATCCATCGCTCGATATATCTGAAGAGTAGGACAGAGAAGGGATCACAAATCGTCATATCTCAACATCTCCGAAGGAGTTTGCCAATGACGGGATAACTGATGAGAATAAACAAAAAGCTTGTTTATTTACCCCCACAACAAAACGCAGCCTACTCCTATTCTTCAGCTGTGAGAGCATTCCCAAAGGTGTCAGTGAATACGTTAGACATGCATGCTATACTTTAAAACATGCAAAAAAAAATAAAAAATACATGTCAGGAACTTAAGTAGTTTACTTTAGGTACAAACTGACCATATTATCTTATTAAACAATACATTTACCCAAGTAGTTGAATATCTAAAGAAACACATATGAGGTATTGTGGTGGAAGTGAGCTTTCTTAAATAAGTTTCAGTAAGAGTGGGGAAAGATACTGAAAAAGGCTGCCATCTACAACCTAGAAACAAATGTAACTGCATGTGCACTAAAGAACATAAAAATACTTTAGGCATATCTGTTGTCACATATCAAAGACCGATTCTTTTAATAAACAGTACATGCATTGTTAATACAGCAACAACAGGAAGAATCTGAAGATTTCTTTTCCGTTTCAAAAATGTGACTGTAGCAAGATTAGTATGACTTGGTTCTCAAAGAGATTAATCAAGGGCATTTTGTCACTGATGACCAACACCCAGCTCTTGGTATGAAAGAGCCTCTACAGGGATCACGTTCCATGTAAAACAACACTGGAGATGAAAATCTGCATGCAAATAATACTACTACTTTTCGTATACTAGTTATGCTGTTGCACCTGTAAACAAAACCTCTATTCTATTGAGTTTCTATTCAGTCTCTGCCATGTGTGCAGATTCATTATCAGGTCAAGGTATATAGTCAACAGTCAGTAAAACAAAACATATGACTGACATACAACGGACATGGTCATTGCAGAAGAGAAGTTGTTGCTCCATTAGTGGTGCTCAGGTGGAAACGTGAAGTCCAGCAATTGGTAAAAACACAGAAGAGCCTAAACTGAGTTTATCCTCAACTACTGAGTTAGCTCAGCTGGAACGAGCAGTTGGTGTGCCTCTAGTCAACTACTACACTGCACTCTGCACAGACTTCCTGTGCATGCTACTGTTAGTGTCAGCTGTGTCAGATGATCTTTAATTGGCAGAGGAGGATAAATGTATAATATCCATATACAGCCAATTATTGCTAATGCAGCATCTATCAGTCCACTAGTTCAGCAACATCAGAGAACTCCTTCACATTTTTAGCATGCCATCATAGGAGAAGCACATGTTTTTTATTAACTTTAATGATGGTTCTGTTCTTTTACGGTATCCCTGTAAACCTTGACAGTGTCACAAAGTGAGCCAGTCTGCACAATACCAAGAAGCTGAAAACAAAGGAGCTATTGGAATTCAGTGTTATTTATTTCACTGTTTACAACTACTCTGACATATAGCACATACATATATATAAAAATTCCCCACTCGCCCCCACTTTGGGGCGGTTTTGTATTCCTTCCTTCAAGCTCAGGTCCTCTACCAAAGGCCTGGGAGCTTGAGGGTCCTGCGCAATATCTTAGCTGTTTCCTAGCACTGCACTCTTCTGGACAGAGATCTCAGATGTTGCTCCTGGGATCTGTTGTAAACACTCTCCCCTTTAAAGGACATTTACACTGCCTCTGTAAAGCGCACAGTACCATAAAAGACACAACCCACAGTGAACAACTGTTCAACCTCCAGTGGACAGTACAGGACTATCAAATCACATGCCATCAGACTGAAACATGCATGTATCCCAGAATCATTATTGAATAATTCAACTTTATCATACAATTGGTAATAATGTGCCTGTGCCCATTAGCACTTTGTTGATCTCTTTTTTTTTTTAAATGTGTATATATAGTACATTTTGAATTTGTTCTCTATATATCTGCATGCAAACAATACTACTACTTTTCATAACTTTCATATATATATATATTCCAGTAGTTCCCTGTTCTCATCTCTTGTCCACGAAGGCAACATAGCAGATGTTGAGGACAGCTACAAGTACCTTGGGATCCCACAGGCAAATGGAAAACATGAAGAGGCCGCAAGGAAAGCAGCAACTACCAAATACTTGCAGAGAGGAGGGCAAGTCCTGAGAAGTCAGCTGAATGGAAAGAACAAAGTCTGGGC